TTATATACACACATGTATTTTTTTAGAGGTTTTAAAATAGCTTTGCCACAGACAGCTGACACTGAAAGTGTTTATTTGTACATTAAACTGCTGCACAAATACCAGTTTTGAGTTTTAGTTGAATATATTACTATTATTTAAATTTGCTTTTTCCTCTGTGCTTTGCATATTTGTGTAGTGCATTAAATATGTCTTAGTCATCTGTCTTACTGCAGCTAAGCCTTGCCTATGAATTTCAGTTTTCAGATTATTTTACTGGATATTTCAATGGACAGTACTGGCTTTGGTGGATATTTCTTGTACTTGGTAAGTGGCAATTGAAAACATTTCTGTTTTGATGTAGAAGTACTTAAAGACGGATAATGTCATTGTAAGTAAGAGTTCTGTAACTTGTTTAGCTATGTGTTTTTCTTTAGCTGCTGATACTTTTGTGTGTTGTTTTTATTTCCATAGTATTCACTAGGTTATTGGTTACCATAGTGGTGTTCTTGTGTGAACTGCAAACTATTCAAATGACCTTCAGCTCAAAAAATTTTGTTCTATGTATTTAATTATGTACATACCTGAGACTTGTAATTTGTACTTTTTAAGCTGCTTCTACCGATCTAGGGGTGCAGAACTGTGTAATGAAACTTCGTCTTTATGTAGAGAACATATTGAAAAGTGAGTGATATCTAGTACTTACATGTATAAACCTGTATGTCAGGTATTAAATTTTAAGAAATGTGACTGATCCTAGGAAGGCAGAGTCTGCTGTCTTGTACATAGGTCACGAAATGTCCTTTTCTAGTCCTTTGAAATGCATACTGCATCAGTAGTTTCTCAGTCGGACAAGAGAATGGCTTCATGCTTTCTGATCACAGTGCTCCGATGATGTCAGCTTTCTCTTAAGAGGTCTGTCTGCCCACGTTCAAAGTCTTACATATGTGAAATTCTGCTCTTCTGTCTGTTTTTAATTAGGATATACCAAACCTCAAATACTATAGCTTTTTTTCGTACTGTGGATTTTGTAATTTTAATATGGAATCTGGAATGATTTTCTTTTACAGAAGTGAATCCTACTATCCATTTAATTTTGTAACTCTGGAAGCATGGTAAACTGTTGCTGGTTCAGTAGGTGGCACTCTTCCCTTTGAGTCAATTGACTCAAGTGGCTAACAGCAAATGTTAGAATGAAATGTTGAGTAAATTTAAAAAAAAAAAAACGCAACACTGAGATCCTGACTATTTGTGACTCACTGTTTATCTCACAAGAAATGTCAGAAATCTTAAACGATACTACCTAAAACTTTCTCTGTCTGCCTTTTAGTAAAGCTCGAGGGCATTTGTCAGACTTCTTAATACTCAGCTTGCTCTACTGTTGTGCACTTGGTTGCTTGAGATACATAGAAACTGCTAATGTTTAACACATGACAGCATCAGTCCCTTGAATGCTTTCATATTCTGTTTGAGGTGATTGTGTTTAAGTAGGAAGTGAAATGACTCTTTACAGGTACAAACATCTCCAGATAAATCTTTAATTAAAAGAAACACTTGTGGTGCCTGAGATTAAGGTTTGACACTTTTTTTCACTTGGATGAAAATAGTGTGTTCTTCCCCTTACATTTTCCCCCACTGTCTCTATGGAAAAAGCTGTGCATTTGAAGTTCCTCTTTTTACTAGTCTTTTGCAGCACTTGTTCAGAAGTTAGCTCATTTAGATTTAGGAAAACCTTATTTTCAGTCTTAACTGTTTGAAGATACATTTTTTTTCTTTAACTCACAAAGTTTGTAATAATGCCTTGGAATAAAAGGCACTGTAGAGTGCAGTATGCATCCAGCAGTCAATGTTCCCTTGTCTTAAGAATATTTTGCATGAAATATGCTGGCAGTGTTTTTAAACTGATAAAGTGGATATACCAAGACTGCTAAAACTCTGTAGAAGGATTTAACCCAACAGAGCAACTTAGCAGGACGTGGAGGAGTATTATCAAGTCATGGCAGCACTACCAACCAGATCTGTATTTCATTGTTTCAGGTAACTTTCCCATTAGAGCACCCGAAGTAACATGTCCTGCATATCTTCAGAACTGAATGGCCGAAGTTGGATTCTTTTGTTTTGCATAGTCCTTTGACATACTTGAGCCCACCTATTGCCATCTTTTCCTCTCTTCTGGTGTTCACCTATCTTGGTCTGCTCCCTTCCCTTCTCTCAACATCTGGAAAAATTGCTCATGCTTCATGGAAAAGTAAAGTGATCTATTTCCAAGGAGCTGTCATGTACACTGAACAAATTGAAAAGAGAAACAATTCTAATATTTAAATTTAAATGTTGACCAATGTTTCTTTTTGAGAAACACAATGGAAAGTGGGTGGTGGTGGTTTTTTTCCCCTAAACAGAGAAATACAAAATATGCATTGAATTGGACTGGTTTCCCAACATGTGTAATGCAGAAAATATGCTTTGAAGCACCTGAAGAGCTGCCTGCCCACCTTTTGCTGTTTCAACTGCTTTTCAGTTGAACATGGGACTATCTCTGGTAACGTCTGAGTAGCAGCTTTTGTAGTAGGCTTTTGATCCAGATCTTACTGCTTTCTTCTCCATGCAGAATTCACCTTAATCACAGAAACGTGTCTGGCTTATGTCGAAGTTCCACTGGTTAGCAGACCATTCTCTGTTGCATTTTTTTGTTTGTTTGTATGTCTATCCTAATGAGGCTTTGGTTTAAAAAAAAGAAAAAGTTAAAAAAAAACTTTCAAGCAAAAAGCATTTAGAGAAGAAATGATCATAGGAAAAAGTCAGGGTCTCAACCAGGACAGCAGGAACAAAAAGTGCATCATGTAGGAAAATAGCAGTGTAACCAAACAGATTGTTTATTAGGATGTAAAAGAAAAGGATGAAATCCTTTGCTAAACTTCTTAAGCCTCAGTTTAGATTTCGTTTGAACCTTTGGAATCTTAATACATATGTGTGTATACTATATGCAAAAGCATATATTGTCAAGGTACCTATGTGTTCAGTAAATGAGGAGAATTGCTCTCTAGGCTCGTGTTTTTCTCCACTGGAGGGGGAATTCAGATTTCAGCCCCCCAACTCTTTGGGCAGATTGTTTTATCTCTGGTGAATTCTCCCTGATCCAGCTGATGAATGGATTAATCTGTTGAAGTTTACTTAGTGGAGGAAAATGGACCAAAGAGCTGTGTCCGCCATACAACAATGTTGTTTTCTGGATTGGTTTGTTCAGATGTCCAGTGAATCTCTGAATTGGTAAAATGATGTTGACAACATCATGTAAATGATTTCCATTGTTGCAACGGTAACTTCTGTGTGACTGTTCTGTATCTCTTGTTCCTCTTACCAGAGCTGAAATATTCTTTCAAATGCAGTTAAATTTAAATATTTAAAAATATTTTGAAATGTGGAGCTGACAAAAAAAAATGTAATCATAACACAAGTTGATTAATTTTCTTTGAATTGACTCTTGTTCTTCCTCCTCTTGGACAGGTGCGTTTTCCTGGATGGTTAAATCTCAAGCCATAATCTACTATAATTTATTACTGTCTTGTTGCTAGAGCAATCTATAGTGTCTGTTTGTTGTGTTTTGTTTTTTGTTTTTTTCCCTCTCTGACTTGCAATATGTTTATCTTACACTTTTCTAAAGGTGCGTTTTGTGGTTCAGGTAGTCTTCTAACACACTGATAACTTATTTTAAGAATTCTACTTGAAAAGAATGTGCAGCATGTATTCTTTTTTTTTTCCCTTCTTAAAGACTGTATTTTCATGCAGTCTTTTTAGCAGATGATACTTGAACCCAGATTGTGTGTAAAATTTCTGAAAAGCATTCCATAAGGCCATATCTTTATATCACAAGATAAAAGCAAGGGACTTGCTTGTTGAATTTGTGAATGATGCATAAAGACCTTGCTTTACTTTGTATAATTTAAATTTAAAAAAATTATTTTAATGAGAATAATGTGGGATAGTGTGTACTTAGGTTGATATACTTAATTTTGTGCATTTTCTACGCTTTCAGGACTCCTCCTTTTCTTTCGAGGCTTTGTTAATTATCTCAAAGTCAGAAATATGTCTGAAAGCATGGCAGCTGCTCACAGAACAAGATTTTTTTTCTTGTACTGAAGGTAAGCAATTTTTAGTGGTAAGATTATCTTCTCCAGGAAAATGGAGAAGAACGATTATTTATTTTTAATGTAAGTATTTCAGATTTCTGTCATGAAACAGAAGTTGCGTGGTTTTTGAATATCTGTCATGAATGTTGTACGTATTCTACATGGACTTGGAAATATCTGAAGTCTCTTGGAGTCATGAAATTTGAAAGTAAATAATGCATCCCAGTTGCCTCCAGTCCTCCGTGGAACTAATGTTCAGTAACAAAACGAAAAGGAACCTGTTGTTTTTCCTAAGCAAGAAGCAGTATCTGCTGCCTGTCCTTTGTGTTGGAAAACTGGCTTTAGTAGCCAACCTGTTGTCAGCAAGTTAGGAAGCACTAATCTGCCTGTGTATTAAATCTGATTGACATGGGTCTGAACATGCAGACAATAGATGAGTATTGTCTCTCTTTAACATGACTGGATTAAGACAGTTGTGTACAAGTATGATTATTGTGTATGCAGTGATGTGCTTTATATATCCTTCAGGTAGCTGACTAGTCGGTCTGGCACATATCCACTCTTTTTTTTTTTTTAAAGATATACTTTTTATCCGTTAGGTGGATCTATTGGTCTTCGCTGTGTGACTTAAACCAGGGGTCTCCATTTGTGTTCGACTTTTTTTTACTTACACTGCATGACGAGATAAACTTAAGCCTAGAAATAAGTACTGTAGCATTTTTATTACTTTGCAGTTTACTTAAAATGCTTAAATACTGTATTTTGGCTTATCTGAGAAGCTATATTTGCTATAATAAAGCAGGGTTTCGTAACTTTTCTCCAAGATTGGTCACAGAATCAATATGAAGTAACCACCAACACATTATTGACGCATGAAAAAAAACTGAGATGGTATTTGCCTAGGAAAAAAAACGGTTCCTTTTATATCAGACAGTGATTACATTCAAAAACAGCTAATGATAAATATCGATGCTATACTATATATATGTAGTTCTTGATCATGGAAGAAATCTGATAACATAACTGTAGCTTAATATTTCTTTTTAATGTGCCATTTTGTCAAAAGTATGTGGTAAGTTGAATAACTAAGGTGTATATTGCCTTTTAGTAACCTACCTAAATTGGCAACTGCAGGGCAGCATTTCCTTTTTACAATAGTTACGTATTACTCCTTTTCTTAGTAATGTGGTAACCTCTTCAGAATACCAAAATTTGTAGAGACGAGACTAAAAATATCTGTTAGCTTTCAGTACAGTAAAGTTTAAAGATACTGTTTCAAAAATAATTGTTAGGACTAATTGATATTTGAAAACTGTAGCATGAAGAAAATGATGAGAGTGTAGGATAGGGATTCTTTGCTCTCCTGCAGTTAAAATTCTGCTTTGGGACAAAACACTATTTAATTCAGCATTAACTGAAGCTCACAAGTTGTCCTATCTGAGTTCAGTGGCTTTGAATTTTTCCTTTACCTGTAAGCATCACTGAGATATATGGGCTGGTAAGATCTGTGGAGTGTTTAGAGAGCTGGACGCATAAATATTATTATTTTTTAAAGTGTCTTAGGTATTGAATCAAGAAGTTCAGATTAATTGCTTTGACACTTAAATGTCCTTGTTCTTGTGTAGACAGGTAACTTCTATACTGACTATTAGTTTTAATAACAAAAATTACCTCTACGGTTACAAAATATTCTCAGGTGCTCTTTTGAAATGAGAACAAATTAACAGTAAGTTTTTGCTTTTTACTCCTATCCTGACATGGGAGGGGAACAAACTGTGTCTTTGCTGCTTCTAGGTTTAACATCAGTTAGCAACGCTATTCTGGTAAATCACTGCGACGAACTGAAGTACAACTCTTTCTTTATCTCTAGACTGCATCGAACAGACATTCCTTTCCTATACCATTGTGAAACTTCCAGATGATCTGTAGCCCTCTGAGTTAATAGGATAGAAGACTACTAAAACCAGAAGACAAATTAGTGAAGATACGGCTTCAAAAATGAATGACAGGATGGTTTATGCTCAAATACCAGTTCTGGTCATTCTAGTAAATATTTATAATTGCTGCCTTTTGTTTTAGCACATTTGTATATGTGCTTAGGAAAAAGATAGTATTGAAGTAAGAACAAACCATCTGTTAGTATAGATTAGGTACAGTCAGACTTGGTTAATCTGTGCTTGTTGTATCTGAAAGATTTAAGTGGTAATTTGTTTCACAGCGTGTATGCACCACTGACTTGTTGATCTGAACTTTGAGTACAATGAAATGCATTAAATGATTCAGATTAACGAGTTCAGACAGTTTTTTCTATACTTTTGATTCATCTAATGATTGTGTAGACATTTTTAAGTTTATTAAACCCCAGAGTTCCTTGTTGTCACAAACTTTTATTCGCCAATATTTTATCAAATTCAAACCAATATACTGGTTTGCTTAAAACTGATACTCCACTTTGAGTCCCCTGTAAATAACTCTGCATAAATGGCTGTTTGAATTGCTTCTTAGGAAATATGTCAAAATATATTTTGTAACAGCATATTCTCTAAATTTTGTTTAATCTTAGAGCTATATACATATTTTTTGTTAATTGGCTATTAAGGGTATAGTTACTATTAGATGTAATTTTGGAGGTAAAGGCATTGAGTTGTCTCATCCTAACTTTTCTCACATGAATTATTATTAACTGGTTTGGACTTGAGCCTGAAAATCATTATTCATATGCATGATCCCATTAAAAGATAGCGTTTGTTCATGTTAGCAGCGATGGACAGCCTTACATCTTTAGTCCTTGGTTATGCAGTTGGATCTTCATAGGTGCATCTTTGTTCCTGAAACAGAGTATTGCAAATGTATTCCCTGGGTTATAACACTGGCTCTGTTTAAGAAGGCTTGAGTTCAGTGTAAATACAATATTCACCTTGAGGGCTTCTCAAAAAAAAATAAATTCATATAGCTATCTTACAACGCTTGTTTAGAATAAATACTTTGCCATTTCCTAAGAGTAAACTAATTTAAATGTAAGGTAGCTTTGGAAATAATCTGTGAAGAAAAAAAAATAAATCTTTCTTTTAAAGCTCTGAAAGTAGAAAATGTGTGTTGCACCTCTCCCAGTATTCATTTAAGGTGTACCATTACTTTCTTATAAGTATCATCTCTTTAAGGGGTACTGTCTGCTGTTCAAGCATGTGTGGTTTCCTTTAAAGTTTATGAAATTTATGCTTCTCCCTAAGTAGGAGAATACATCTCTCGACTGGTCCTTTGTACAACTGGAATCTCAGTTGCAAAAATACCTTGGTTGTTGGTTGCACCTTTGAGGGAAAAAAGATACAAATACTTTCCTCCAGTTTTTCTTTTTGTATTAGAACTCTGCCTTTTTATTACTAACATTAAAAACAGTGAGGTTTATGTTGTTTTAAGCTAGTGCTGTATTCAGTTTTGTATCTATAATGAATGTTTTAAATATACATATGTAAACTGGTCACATTATTCACTTTCATAATCTCTCAGAGATACTGAAAGTGACTAAAACTTTAGGGGCACCTCCACTTCCCAGCTTTTTATGGAAAGAATAAAATTAAGTATTATGTTCAATATCTGATTGGGATTTCCTTCTAAACTTATGTTTGTTTCTGTGTTCTTTTGCATTCATTGTCCATATGAAAAAGAAGCAGATAATAAAACATTGCTTTGTTTTGCTAATTAAGACTTTACGCTTTGGGTTTTATTTTTTGTACTTCACATTGAAAAATGCACACTGCAATATTTGTGTCAACATGGAATTATAGACAAATTACCTGGCAAAATAGGTACTAACCAATCCCTTCTTCTCATCTCATATTTTATGGCAGCAAACTGTAAGGACCTTTCTTTTAATGAGTTAATAGAACTGTGCAAAGCATGCCATATTGATTAATTTTCTGTTTACTATATCAACTAGTACGATTTTCCAACTATATCATTTTTCCCAAATTAAGTAAGAGTCTGCTGTTTGCATTAATTCTGTTTGCTCCACTGCGTTTTGCAGAAGGCTTCGTACAGATACTTGGTTTTGTTGTGGTTTTTTTTTTTTTTCTGGACTAACTTGGAAAAATTCTCATTTGGACAGAAAGAGTATGTGGGGTTAAAAATGTACGCATGTTATCTAATCCTCTGTAGTTGATGCAGCAGTTTGGTAGCCTGAAATCTCATCAGCAGGAGGAAGGGAATTGGGACACTGTTTTCAAAGACTCTGCAATCTATTCCAGATGTGTCAAATGCTGCATATTTTCCTTGCTATTTCCTGTGAGCTTGGTTAGGAGCAGCTGGCTCTGTGGTTCAGAGACACCTGACCAGCTTTGCTTTGTGTCTTTGGGGGGGCAGAGCGGGGGTAAGCTCCAGTGTCGCAGTGAAGTTGACTGTAAACAGATTTTGTATGAATGCAAATAAGGCTTTGAAGTTTGGGGCAAAAACAGCTAGGAGAGGGGAAGTGGGGAGAGAAAATGCCATTTTATTCAAGCAACTGGCATGAACGTAATTTCTTTAGTGTTGTCATTCACTTTTGATGTGGACACCACAGGAAGATGGGCATCTTGATTATGATTCAAGTAGCCTGCAACTCTAGTAATGCATTTCAGAAATGATCCATCACTGGCACTTCCAGTCCTCTTCTGGAGCGGAGATTGTCTCCAAGCTTTCACTTTGCTGTCTCACCTGGAGTATGGACACCATCCTCATCCTTGTAACCTGGTTTCAAGACCCTACTTTTTCTGGGTCTGCTTCCCTCCCTTTGAACGATGACAACAGGTGAGGAAAAGTGGCTTTATTAACGTGCTATCATAACATCAGAAAGCTTTTGATCGCTCTTCCACTTTTTGATAATGTTTTCCCATAATACTCTGCATTAGTCCCTCATGTGTGGTTGCTTGCATTGTTCACTTAAACAAAAAGTTCATCTCATGAAGTTGCTATTGCTTCCTGGGCTTTTGAAGAGAAGATGAATAACCTCCAGTATGGAAATAACTCTCTCTCAATAAGGGAAAAAAAAAATTCTAATGCTAAAACATGATGAGCATATGTGCACAATTACCCAGAAAGAGTAGGATCCATTGTATTGTTTGTCCTATGTATCTTGTTCTTTTCCACCATCCCAAGATCCTTACCTTTTTTCTTTATAATTCTGAGGATACTTTTACCACCTGCATCTTCTCTACTTGGCATATCCTTTCCACTTCCATGTCCCTTCTCCTTTCTCTGTGCACTTGCTGTGCACCCCACAAGGACGGGCAGAAGGCTGCCCTACTACATGTTGGCTGCAGTTAACAAATAAACCACCTAGCAATTTCTAAGTTTTGGGTTTTTTTTCTTCTCTTTAACGATGGTTTGTGTTTTCATACATCCGTATTTTACAGGTAAGCCAACTCTTTAAAATCAATGACTTTCAGACAACTGAAAATATGTGATTGTGCCATCCATCTGTTGTAAGCGTTGCATGTGCAAGTGAAATTAAAACAGTGGCAGAATTTGTTTTAGGTGTATTTTCCTTTATCTCCTGAAGTGTCTGCATGATCAGCTTGAAACATTTCTCTGGTATGTAATTGTTTGGATTGTTTGGGTTTGGTTTTTTTTTTTCCCCCCACCCTTCCCAAATGAAAGAAAAGTCAGCCTTCCTGGATTTTTGCCTGTGGTATATTTTCTATTTTAGGAAACTTGCATGCAGTGAGGCTTAAAAGTATTGCAAACAGTATCAGCTCTCCAGCTATTTTTCTTTTTTGTGTGTAAAACAGACAGGTATATATTAAAAAAAGGTTAAAATATTTTGATTCTTTCATACTGAGGGATGGTTACAGTTATCCCCACGTCTTTACATCTGTTCTTGTAGTCTTCACTCTTAATTTTTCTTGTGGTCAAAGAAACACTGTGTGTGCGGGTATCCTTGGTGTAATACGAGAAGTTGTTCATTGATTCTTCATTATACACGGCTGCACAGATGCCTATCCTTCTTAATTTTCTAGCTTGGTATAGTCCCCTGACTTCCAAATGCCCAGTTTCACGTGGAACAGGCTGCTGCTGTAAATTGTTTATTAGTAAAATGACTGTAAAGCACACTTCGCTTTGATGTGTTCATTAATCGAGTCTTGTAGTTTAATATCATTGCGGTAGCGTTGCTGGTCAGTCCACTTCTGCTGCTGCTGTACGTAACTGGTGAGAGCTCGTTCCAGGTGTCTGGAGTCTTTGGTGTATTTTTTCCATTACTAGTGACCGGGTGTTGGAGTGAAGTCTGTGGGTCTTACTGGTGGAAGTGTTATTGGAATAAAGCCAGTGGTAATCGTCATGTAATTGGTAGCATGAGCACCTGCGGGACCATTGCTTAGCTCTTCTTTGAGTCTCTACCTAACTTCTAATTAATGAATTAACTTGACAGTATCTCTTGCAACTTTCATAGAAAGTCTTTATATGGGCTTTTGTCATTTTTGATGCATCAGATTTACCTCTATACCTCTAGGAACAAGGAGCTTCTGAAGACAGCCCTATCGGTTCACTTATTCATATACACAAAACAGTGGAAATAATTTCTGTAGATTAAATTGATAAGCCAAATATTACTATTTCAACCTGAAACGTGAATCAGATCCCACTTAAAAACTGTTACTTTGAGGATGATCTGACAGTGTGGTTAAGCAAAACCAGGAATCTATTGTAAGTAATTATTGGCAGACAGTTATAGTGTTACTGTACTTTGGATTCTCAAGTGCTGCTGTTTTTTCCTGAGGAGTCAAAGTTTTGGATTTTGGGGGCTTTTTTTTGTAGGAAACTTGCAACACTTATTCCGGTTCTGCTGGTGTTCATCATAACATGGACGTATATTAAATGCAAGAAACACTGACAGCATAATCCCATGGTTAAAAAACTTAAGCGTACGCATCCAGGAGACTTAAAAGTTTCTGAAAGCTGACGTGACACATTGGACTTGGCAGGTTACATACGGCGTGGCGCAGGTCTCTGCCTGATCCGTGCTTCATAAGGATGGCGAGTGCTGCTACGCAGCGTGCTCTGGATGTGTCACAGGTTCAAGCTGAGGTTGCTGTGTATTAAGCAGAGATTCCCTGTGAAGGGAGCAAGAGAAACAAGGGGAGGAGGAGTGCTTGGGCCTTCAGCTCTGGGTTTGCAGTGGCTGATGTAGCAGGTATTTGTGGTGAGATGGTGGGAGCACATCTCAGTGCAGTCCTCACCCCCTTCCTTCCCAACTGACCAACCACTTTGTGTACCTACCTGATCTGTGAAATGGGCCCTTCAGTTTTCTTTTCTTCCTGGAGACAACTGGAATAGCAAACTCTTCTCCACTTGGACAGGCAGAAGGAGGTCCCAGCTGGCTATCCGCAAAGGCACTTGGCCAGCAGTTTTTAGCCTAGCTGGCCCGATGGGAAACAGCCTCTGGCTGTTTCTCTGCCTTGCCAGCAGGAACGCAATCTGCAGCCCCTCTCTTTGTACAATCTGCATG